TACTCTTAGAAAAAATATTTCACTTTTTAAAACTTTTCGGATGAAATCTACCGAATTATTATGCAAGTAATGAAAAAAGCGCCAATAGACGGCCCCACATCCACCACTACCAAACCAATCAGAGTCCACGATCAGACCCTCGACGCGTTCAGTATAAATCGACGCCATCGATCCATAATTAAGACCCGAGAATTCCTCTCCATTGTCTCCCCTTGCCCCCTTCACAGGGCTTCGTCCAGTCTTCACTCTTCACTCACTCTCCTCCCCAAATTAAAACCCTACATTGGATCGCAGCGGTATCTGTAATCCATCCTCCCAATTTCACTTATTATCTATCATGGCGCAATCTGAAACCCTAGATTTATCTTCACCTTCTTCGTCTTCACCAGATCCGCAGCTGTCTCGGAGCTCGTCGTCAAGTCGGCTTAACGCGCAGGCTCCGGAATTCGTGCCGACTCGGTCGGCTACTCAGTCTCCTCAGCAGCAACAGCAGCAGCAGCAGCAGCAGCAGCAGCAGCCGCCGCCGCCGCCTCAGCATAGGATTATCATACCTCCTCCTCCTCCGCCTGCTATGCTGCACGTCTATTCCCCTCCTCCGTTTCATGTTCCGGTTCATAGTCCCGTCCCGATGCCGCCTCATATGGTTCCTGTCCACCATCACGTGCCTGTTAGAAATCATCAGAACCATCACCATCAGTATTATGGTGGAGAGCAGGATGGTGAGGTAGGGAAGAAGGATCATAAGGATCAGAAAGATCACAGTGCATCATCCAAGAATGGATTGTCTGAGGAGGCTGTGCAGAAGATTTTGAATCAGGTAAGAGCAAAATTTACTGCTACTTTATTCACTAATAGCTTTCCGTTATTAGATAACTTTGTTTTTGGACTTTAATTGATCGTTGCTGTAATTTGCATTTCTTTGTCCGTTTTGATTCGTAGATAAGATTTAGTTTGTGAGGACATTTCGTGATTTTCTATTTATAACAATAGACAGGCTCAGAGGTTCGATACATGCTTCGTTGGTAAAGTATTGAGCATTCAAGCAATGTATTATACAACCTTGATGGATAGGTTAGGATCTCAGTTGTGATTTATTTTAGTCTTTGATGATTTTCCTGCAAGGGGTGGCTTCCTTTAATCTTGGCTTTTCTTGGGGTAGGGTGGTTGGCTTGGTGTGCTTAAGTTATCACTGACTAATACATTCATTCAGTATCATCTATGGGATTTGTAATTACTTCATTCTACAATCATTCGTTTTAAGCATATGGTTCTAATTCATTTTTATGTGCGTTCCAGTTACTGCTCTTCAATTTTAATAAACAAAATATTTTGCAGGTGGAATACTATTTCAGTGATTTAAACTTGGCCACCACTGATCATCTAATAAGGTTCATCCACAAGGATCCTGAAGGATATGGTAAGATTCTCATAACTTTTTGTGCAAACTTTAAAACATGAATTTTGCAGAATCTAAGTCAACTGAAAAGACCATGAATATTGGAGATAAAAGTGTCACAATGGCCAATGATTTTTTTTTCCCTGTCACTAGAATTTTACAAGTCATTTGCTTTCACTTTTCTTTGATAGGTTGAGTGCTTGAGTTACAGATGCAAGTGCAACTATTGTTTGAAAGATTGTCTACTGTCATATTGAAAGTTGTGCAATTTATGCTAATTATTCTATATTCATTTTAATCTTTTTATTTGCTTTAAATTTAGTACCAATAACTGTCGTTGCATCGTTTAAGAAGATTAAAGCCTACACAAGCAACCATTCCCAGCTTGCTACTGTTTTGCGTAACTCATCGAAGCTTGTAAGTGTCCTCATATGCTCTTGTTTTTATGTGCCTGTTTTACCTGTAATGTTATGTAATTGCTATTCTTTCCCCATGTTTTTAAATCATCTTGGTTCCATATTTACAGGTTGTTAGTGAAGATGGAAAGAAAGTAAGACGCCTGCATCCCCTAACTGAGTCAGATATTGAAGAGTTGCAAGTGAGGTTTTTCTTCATTTTTCTCCTTTGTAGTTCCTTTTTGTTATGGGTTTTATGTTCTTCTTTCTAAAAATCTTCTAATTTTAAGAAAAAGTGCTAGTGTTTCCTTTTGTATGAATATTTGCAGTCAAAACGTTTAACTTTCATGTTGTTTTATTCCTTTCTGATACTTCTTCTGATTCAGTCTCGTATAATTGTTGCCGAAAATTTGCCTGAGGATCATTGCCATCAGAACCTTATGAAGATTTTCTCTGCTGTTGGGAGGTATTAAGTTAACTATTTAAGAAGTTTAGCCTCGCATGTGTTAATTTTTCCATGGTCATGTAAGCCAAGGATCTAGTCTTTCTAAGTTCTGGCTTCTGAGTTCCGTTCAGTGTGAAGACAATCCGGACCTGTCCACCTCAACCTTCTGGCAGTGGGGCATCTTCAGCAAGTAGATCAGGAAAGACTGATGGCATGCATTTCAGTAACAAGGTACTATTGCCCTTGTTTCTAGTTTATTGTTTGGGGTGCTTTTGTTTCTCGTGCATATCCTGTTCAATATATTATTTCTGAACGTTTAATTTTTATCACCAACACTATGCAATTTTATTAAAATGTTCACTTTTCCAAAGAACATATGAAGTGGTGGACTTATCTAATTTTGGCCTTCGTCTTATAGTTGCATGCATTTGTGGAGTATGAATCTGTTGAGCTGGCTGAGAAGGCTGTAAGTACTCTTATTTTTATTTGAAATGATCCCTTTCTACGTTCCATGCTTCTAAGAAGAGACAAGATGAGATGAGCATCTCATTTGGCAGGTTGCAGAGCTAAATGATGAGAGAAACTGGAGGAGTGGCCTTAGAGTCCGATTGATGCTTAAACGTTCTGTACGTACTGAAGATGTTATGAAACTCCCTTCAATTATTTCTTCTCTGCCCCTCTCCACTATTTCCACATTTGTGAATGCAATCAAATTCATGAAATCACTCAAGCATCATTGACTGAACCAGCTTTTTGTTCATCAATCAAATTTTTAAAAATTTTCATGTTGAGTACCATGTGTAAAAGGGTGTCTGCATGCATGTGTGTCACAGGTGGTTGAAAATAGGAAAAAAAAAAAAAAACACTTTTATTAATTAAACAATAGGTAACCTGGTAACCTGAGTTGTTATTGTAACAAGAAAAGGTTGGATAAAAGTGTCACCTTATACGTATGATATGGTCAACATCAGGAGAAAATGCTTTAGTTATGTTCATGCTTGAATGTGTGTCTCACATGTAGAATCTTGGTATGTGTACCAAGCTCTTTCTCCTACACTGCTTGTGTGCAAAGAAGCTGACCTGTATTCCCTGACTGCTGATAGGTAGCTTTTATTAGAAATATGTGCATTTTCTTTTGCTCTATTTATTTTAGTTAAAGCAATGTTTTACTAAGATTTTAGGTAATTTTAGTTGATTCATGGAAGCAAGACTAGTTCATCGATTTACATTTCTAATCTTTAATCCTAGACAAAACCTGCTCATGCAAGAGGGAAAAAGGGCCATGATGGCGAGGGGAATTATGAAGAAGATGATACTTCCACATCTGAGCAGCTGCCAAGTGAGAAACAATCTGAAGATCATTCTCAGTTATCTGATGTAAATACACATGAGCACTCAGTAAGTTCCAGAAAATTTGGTCTATTCTTAACTTTGTTTTACAAAAGTTGGAATATAGTACTTGTAAACACGATGGTGCAATTGGTTCTCAAAAAAAAAAGGGCTCTCAAACGTGATGGTGCAATTTGTTCAAGGTAACAAATTTGCTGAACTTCAGAAAATAACTGGGAAAGTCTCCATGGGGGTGGGGCTGCTTCTTGAATCACATCCACCTGCTGTTGAAATGCGTCCATTTTGGTGACAAAAAAAATCTTGCAATACATATATATCATCCTAATGCTCCACAAAAAAATATCATCCTTTTCATATGCTAGCTGTGATAGTCTGGTCATATATTGCCAACTATTTTATATGTGTGTCTCATTACAATTTTGTTCCTGCAGGGAGAGGAACATGCCAATGATAAAGAGGGTGGGCAGAGAAAAGGGCGAAACAGAGTCCGGGGCAAGGGACGTGGGCGGGCTCAGTATCATCAGAATAACCATCATAACGGCCGTGGAAACAATCTGGGTGCTTCCCCTTCAAATAATGTGGTCAGCAATGAGCAGGCAACCATAGCAAAGCAACCCCCTGGTCCTCGTATGCCAGACGGAACAAGAGGATTTGCCATGGGCCGGGGGAAGCCAGTTGTTGTTAATACAGCAGCCTAACTATAAATTCTTATGAATGAGCCAAGATATACTCGGCCGGGGAGATGTATCTGTTATGTGGCATTTGATGGCAGGGTTTTAGGAGGGCTGTCCATATATATAGTAGGTATTAGGGAGTGAAGTGACCAGAGTCCTATATTTATTCAAGTAATGCTGGTATGGACGATGCAAAAACATTTTCATAATTTTGCTTTTCCCTTTAATTTTTAGCACGAACTTATGTAGAAACGCAAGAACGGAACCCTAGTGCGGGTAACCAATATCAATTGAAAAAATGAGAGTGGAAATGCAATAAAATGGTTACCACTTACAAATTCTCTGTACCTCTTGCTATCTATGTCCAGATAAATTTTCAGGAACAGCGCAATTAGGGAAAAAGCATGCAGAAATTTCTTTCTTTTTATAATCTCTTCAAAACAATTATTATTTGAGTTTGTCCATCTTATGTTTTTAAGGATGCATTAATTATATTTTTTATTTTGAATTTTTATAAAAGTTAAAAATAATTAATTTTATCTTTATCATTAATATCACACACATATATATTTTTAATTAAATAGTTAATAAAATTAAAATTTAAAAATAAATAAATTAAAAAAATATAATAAATATGCCTTTCTTTTGCCCTTACGTTTGAAATTTCCTCATCACATTGGGACGTCTGTTCGGTAACTTATTTCTGTTGGTACATTTGATGATACCATCTACTTCCTAAACCTCTCCCATCAATTCAAACTCAGTATTTACGGTAGGGTAGAGAAGTTGGAACGCTTAATAACTAAGATGTCTTTCAAGAAACTCGTTAATCGGCATAGATATAAATGTTAGTACAACCCTAAAGATTGGATATATTAATAAGTATATCAAGTTTAGCATTAAGTCTTGAGGTTAATACATGTTAATTTTTTTGAATAATATTATCTAAATAATATATTTAGATTTAAAGAAATTAAAGAGCGAGAGAG